GGGGAAGGGGGAGGGGTTGGAGGGGGGAGCGGGGTGGAGAGGAGAGACGAAGCAAAAAGAGAAACAATAGCAAAAGAAAAAAAATATACAAAGCAAAATAAAAATTAAAAAAACCCTAGAACACACACAAATCCTAACGGGGGGGGAGAATCCTGAAATAAAAGCCGTAGAACTGTCTTCCAAGGGGGCGGGAGGGGACGAGAAAGGAGTTGGGCTCCTCCTGCAGGATCGCAAGGATGGGGTGTGACCTGAAGGTGGATGACAGCAGAGGTCTCCCCAGCCCCCACACCCAACGAGACTTTGCTGAGAGAAATGGCTTTTGTATCAGGTCATTCTTTATAATTAACCTCCCAGTATCCCCCCCCTGGAGCCGGCCCCGCCTCCTTCCTAGGGAGGCCACGCCCCTTTGATTCGCTGGGCCTGGGGGCGGGGTGCAGCTGGGGCCCGCCCCCGCCACGCGTCAATCTTCCTCCACGGGTTCCGCTCCCAGAGCCTCGAGCATACGCCGTCGGACCAGGGATCGGCGCAGGTGAAGGCGGTAGTCGCCCAGCAGCAGGTCGTCGTGGCGCACCAGTGGGTGCGCGATTCCGCGGAGGCTGAGTCCCGAGCGCAGCAGGCGCGAGCGCGTCTGGAAGTCTGTGACAGTGATGAGCCACCTGCGGGCGAGGCGAAAACCAAGGGACGTCGCTGGGATTCCCCCTGCCCGCCTTCGCTCGCGGCCGCCGCTGCCGTCTCTGCTGCCCGGTATCTCTTTCACCTCGCCAAGGATGCGCCAGGCCCTGGTCTCGCTGTTGTCCTTATCCGATTCGGCTAGAAATGCCATTCAGCCCAGGCCCGCCCCTTCGATTCCAACATTCTGATTGTGCCCAAAGTGCCACTCAGCCGAGGACCCTCCCCTCTGGGTGGCTCTGGGCCTAATATCTCAGTGACACCCCCCCTCCCCTTGGCTCCACCATCTCTCTCTGGTCTTTCAGTGGCTCTCAGCTCCACCCCTCACTCTAACCCCACCCACCAGCCTCCCACTCTAGGCCCCTCACTGTGCTCACTGTGCCCTCCCCCCACACACACACCTTGGTACTGCTTGGCTCTGTCCCTCACTTCCTCTCTCACTCGCGCCGACTCCTCCTCCCAGCTCCACTTGTTAAGATCCTGGCTACAGCCCTCCCAAGTCTGTCCATCAGCCGCTTACCCCAGACCACGTCCATGCGTGGGCTCACCTGTCCCTGCGGCCTGCGGTCCCGCAGATGACATTCATGTTTTCATACCGGATGCTGCTCACACGCCCACTGTCCATGGCCCCGGGCAGCTCGGCCTCCAGAGCCTCCAGCACCTCCAGGTGCGTGAAATCCTCCTGCGTGTGGATGCATACAGCTTCAGCCCTTATCACCCTGGTTGGAGCCTGGCCCAGACTCTACCTTCAGAACCACTAGGTTCTGTCACTCTTGTCAAAGGGGAGACCACAGGTGTCTCTTGGGTACTATGACATCTGCCAATCAAGGGCTTTCTCAAAAACCAGAATGGTTACAGCTTCACCCACCCTACAGGGAAACTCTCAGAAACCAGCCATAAATGATGCCTTAAAATTCTGGAGGATTCTTGCCAGAATTTGGACCTATGATCTCATGTTAAGGTGGTGCAGTTATCAGAAGGCTCAGAGGAAGCTGTTTGGGGGATGTGTTGATGGCTGGTAAAGGTGCTTGCTGTGCAATCCTGATGACTTGAGTTCAATCCCCATAGCCCACGTAAAGGTAGAAGGAGACAACTGACCTCCTCTGACTGCCACCTGTCAGACATTAGGGGTGTCTTCAAGAGAGGCTGAAGGGCCTCTTCCTCCCACCTGTGCACTAACCAGGCCTGCTTAGCTTCTGGATGTGAAAGAGATCTGCTGTGCCCAGGGTGGTATGATGGTACACTGGGGTCCCTTCCTCAAAGGCACAAAGAAAAGGAGAAATGGGGTGGGAGAGCAACTCCATGACAGAGGAAAGTCACACAGACACCCAAAGAGGTGCCTAGTACCCAGTAGGTGCCTCTTAATGTCAGATACAAGCAGATATGGTCTCAAGTGTGTGTGTGTGTGTGTGTGTGAGAGCGAGAGAGAGAGAGAGAGAGAGAGAGAGAGAGAGAGAGAAACAGGAGCTCAGGTAGCCCTGCTAGCCTGGAACTCACTGTGAAATGGAGGCTGATGTCAACCTGCTCCTCCTGGCTTTGCCTCCAGAGTGCTGGGATAACAGATGCACACTACCATGCCTGACCCTTAACCTGATCTTAAACACTGACCATCTCAGTTCTGATCAGGTGATCCTCTCATTACCCAAGCCAAACCGTGCAGAGAGCTGATGGTCTCTCACCGAAGTCTCCATGCAGAGGCAGAGGGGCTGAGCAGAGGGCGGTGCTGAGAACTTTCGGATACATGGGAGCTCACGATCCAGTGCCTCGTATTCTGAGATAACCTGCCGCAGGTACTGCTTTCTGGGGGAGGGGGGAGGGGAGGAGAGAAGCAAGGCGAGGAAAGGGACCTCTGAAGTCAGGGGCTGTTGCTGCCACTTCTGCAGGAACTGAAGTCAGAGGTCATGGAGATGGGGACTCACGAGGATTTGACAGGCCTGCCCAGACTCCGAGCCATGGACTCCTCTGTAGCCTCCAAATCCACAAGGATGGATCCTAGGGACAAGAGAACCCAGTGTCACCTGCTGAGGACCCTTGGCAGCCATGACTGTCTTCAGATGAGAATCACCCAGCAGTGTGCACACCACCCCAGAAAGCTAGATCTTAGAGGCCAGTCCCTGAGATAGCATCTGGAAGCTACACAATCCACCCTTCCACTCCAGCTCTGACTCCAGATTCCTCGCTAGGCTCAGCTCTGCCCAGAACCAATACCAAAGTCCAGCCTGCTGATTGGAACTTGACCTATAAGTTCCTCACATGTGACCCCTTCTTGCCAACCTTATCATTAGCTGATGGGCCTCTCTTTTTCCTTGGCTAGTGACTGACACACATGAACTATTTCCCCTCTTCAGCCCTAGGGTTGTACAGGCATAAGGGGGTCTAGCCTCCCTCACCAGCTTCTTTGTGACCTGGCAACCAAGTTCTCACCAACAGTGTGAGCAAGAGTGAGCCAACACATCTGCATTAGCTGCTGGATGCATTGCAGCACTAGGAAGGCTGTGGCAGAGGGGTTGCCATAAGCTCAAAGGCAGTCTGGTCTACACAGTGACTTTGAGGCCAGCCTGGGCTTCACAGGGAAAGTGTGGGGAGGAGAGAAGGAAGGAGAAAGAAGAAAAGGAAGAGAAGGAAGAAGAGGGAGGGAGAGAAAGAAGGAAGAAATGAAACTGTCTTTGATGTTTGGCTCCTTCCTTCAGATGGGCTGGAATGCAAATGGAGCAGTAACCCAGTTTCAACCATGTTGCGATATGCTGAGCAACAATGTAGAAGGCTCCTGGGCCCATGAGTTGTCTTGTAGAGTACAAGCATCCTACAACCTACTCTGAAACAAATTAAGGTCTGCCTCCTCTATGTTATTGTATTTCAAGGCAGAGGAGAGAAGAGTTGCCCATGACAGTCAGGACTGTAGGATGTTCTTACTGGCAGAAACAGTGACCCTTGACATCAACTCCAGACAGGGCCACTACAGCAAGACATACTGAGATGAGAGCACTGTGAGGTTATATCACTGTGAGGGGCCAGACCCATAGATGTTCAAAATATAGAAACTGCCAGACAGTGGTGGCACACGCCTTTAATCTCACTACTTGGGGGGCAGAGGCAGGCAGATCTCTGTGAGTTTTAGGCTAGCCTGATCTACAGAGAGAGTTCCAGGACAGCCAGAACTGTGATACAGAGAAACCCTGTCTTGAAAAGGGTTTCCGGCCTGGCTCAGTGCCTCTTTCCTGTCTTATGGCTCTGACATACTTCACACACAGATTTCCAGAATGTATTACTGTGATGTGCCAAATGACTCATTGATGGTGTTGGGAATCAAACCTGGGACCTTTCAAAGTGTTAGGCAGGTGCTCTTCCACTGAGACATGACCCAGCCCCTCCCTGGAGACTCTAGGACTATGTCCCTGGTAATGTACACGACTCATCAGGTCATGCCACTTTGTCACTCGTTGGTTGCTTCGTTCAACGCTGAGCTGACCTCGCTCCCTGAGAGTGCTGCAGAGTGTCTCTCCTGCGTGCGCGTGCACACACACACACACACACACACACACACTGTGGTTTGTTCTCCATACAGGCACAGTTATGTAACTAATTAATTCCACAATACTATACAATTGGTTGTCACCAAGTTTATGAGCAGTGTGAGGTCCATTTACTCAACAATGTGTTTACACACATGTCCATATGTGTGTGGAGGTCAGAGGTGAACCTCAGGTGCTATTCATAAGGCACTATCCACTTTGTTTTGAGACAGAATTGTCCACTGGACTAGAGCTCACCAAGTTGGCTAGTCCATGAGTCTCAGCGACCTGCCTGTCTCTGCCTGTATGGAGCTGGGATTACAGGTGTGTACCACCAAACCTGCCTTGTTTTCGAGATTTATTTTTGTTTTTATTTGTGTCTCTGTATGTGCCACATGCATGAAGTGCCTGCAGAGACCAGAAGAGGGCATCACATCTTCTGGAGCTGGAATAACAGGTGGCTGTTAGCTGCCTGATGTGGGGACTGGGAACCAAACTCAGGTCTTAGGCATGAACTGCTGAGCCATCTCTCCTGCCCATCTTGTTTTGTCTAACATGGGTTCTGGGGATTGAATTTAGGCCCTTATCCTAGCATGGCAAGCACTTTGTTTAGAGGCAGGGTCTCAATCTACAGCCCAGGCAGTCTTGAACTCATTATGTAGCCCCCGCTGGCCTTGAACTCATGCCACCCTCCTGCCTCAACTTCCTGAGTGCTAGGATGGTAGGTGTGCACCACCATACCCAGTCCACAGTGATGGGGGACATTCTTCTATATATTTCTCTTATTTCTTGAGAATATATTTCTATTTCTCTTATTGGTTGATGAATAAAACACTGATTGGCGAGTAGAGGCAGGAAGACTGGCAGGGCTAGGAGATGAAGAGAATGCTGAGTAGAGAGGCCATGTAACCGAGGAAGGAGTAACAGGTTCAGACCCTGCTTGGGTAAGATAAGACCACACGGAAATACTTAGATTAATAGGAATGGGTTAATAATTAAGAGAGAGATAGCCAGTAAGAAGCCCTAGCCCTCAGCCAACAATTTAATAATATATCGTTGCGTGCTTATTTGGGGCTGAAGGGCAGTGGACCTGGCAGGAAAGAAACCTCCATGTTCACCACAGCCCCCATGTTCACCACAGCCTCCATGTGTTTTGTTATTATTGTTTTAAATTTTATTTTATTTTTAATTTTGTTACATACCCACAGATGCTGGAGAGAGGTGGTCAGGAGCCACCCAAGTTGAGTGATGGAAACTGAACTTGGGTCTTCAGCAAGAGCTGGAAGCACTGAGACATCTTTCCAGCCTCAGACTCAATGTTCTTGCCCTGGCATCTGGCAGAGCGCCAAGTGCAGAGATGGTCCAGGGTGAACACTGACTGGGAAAGCCCCAGGAGACATGAGCTGCAACCCTTATATGAACTGCTTGAGTCCCAACTCAGCCAAACCAACTGGAAAGTAACAAAAACAAGCAAATCTGGACATGCATCAGGGCTTCTCGTGCAGATTTAGACATAGGAATCTAAGTATGTACTACACAAGAGAATCTCCTGGAAGAATTGTAGATTTTGTCAACTGTCACTATGACATGGTGGATATGTGTGCTTAAAATCCCTAGCAATTTGGATGGGGTTATGGAGATGGCTCAGTAATGTGCTTGCCTTGTGTGATGCTTGCTTTTACTTGTCAACTTGACACAATCCAGAATCATCTTGGAAGAACATCTCAGTGTGGAACTGTCCAGATCAGGGTGTTGTGTGGATATGTCTGCAGGAGTTGCTGTGTTAATGGAAGTGAGAAGCACACCCACTGTAGGCAGCATTGCTCTCTGGGCACATTGTCATTCTCTGGATTGTATGAACAAGAGTGGGAACAGCAAGAAGAGCTCCGGCATGCATGTATGCATGGGCTCATTGCTCTCTGCTCTTGCCAGGGTATATTATCTGACCGGCAGCTTCAAAATCCCAATGTCTTCACTTCCCTGATGTCTTAGACCCAGAACTGTGAGCCAAATAATCCCTTTCTTCCTTAATTCTTGGGGAGGTCAGGATATTTTGTCGTTGCAACAGGAAACAAACTGAGATACCATGCAACATAAATACTTAAGTATGATCCCCAGAACTCATGTAAAAATCAGGCATGCCAAGATACATCTGTAATCCCAGTGCTGGGGAAGTGGAGACAGAAGGATCCCTGGGCTTGCTCCTCAGCCAATCTAACTGAATCAGTGAGCTCCAGGCCAGTGAGAAATCCTGTCTCAAAAAAAAGTGGCCTGTGATTGAAGATGTCAATGCTAACTCTCCCTCCCACCCCAATATGCAGACACAGCTGAAATCAAAATTGGTAAAAATGAGATTGTGTCTGCAATTTATCGTCTGTATAATGTCCCTACAAATGTAGTCAGTGCTCCTGTTAAACACAATCAAGAAAATATTGCTCACATTGCAGCTAGGCATTGCTGGGAAAAGTGAGCTCCTTAAATGATAGTCTTGATTTTTCCATAGGGTGAAACTCTCCATATTAAAACTCTGCATGTCTATCCTGGTAACAAAGAAGGAAATTGATATACCCTGGAAGTGTGTTTGATCACTCAGAAGATATGGATGGACAACCCTAGAGACATCTATGGAGACTAAAGAATGGTTTCTCAGGAAATGTGATGTTAAATATTTACTGGAATTTTCTAAACTGTAGCAGCATTTCTAATCCCTATAACGATGCAATGAGTTACTAAAAGTGTATTTATTCAGTAATAAAAGACTTTCATAGCTTGTGCATATCACACACACACACACACACACACACACACACACACACACACAATTAGGCATGGTGGCCAATCTCATACCAGCTATTCAGAAGGCTGCACAAGGAGATCAAAAACTCAAGGCTGGCCTGAGCTACCCTGCCTCAAATAATAAAAGGCTGAGCATGTAGATCAGTGGTAGAGCCCCTGCCTAGAACACCCCATTGTCTTAGTCACTGTTCTATTGCTGTGAAGAGACACCATGACCAAGACAAATCTTATAAGAGACAGCATTTAATTGTGGGTTTGCTTACAGTTTCAGAAGTTTAGTGGCATGCAGATAGTGATGGTGCTGGAGAAGCAGCTGAGAGCTACATCATGATCCACAAGCTGAGAGAGACTGGGACTGGCATGGGCTTTTGAAATCTCAAAGCCTACCCCCAGTGTACACTTCCTCCAAGAAGGCCACACCTCCTAATCCTAAGCCTTTCAAACAGTTCCACTTGCTGTTGACTAAGCTTTCAAACACATGAGTCTAGGGGGTTATTCCTATTCAAACCTCCACATTCCCCTCTCCGACCCCCACAGGCCTGTAAGCTATAACATAATGGAAAATGCATTCAGCCCAACTTCAAAAGTCTCCGCAGTCTATCACAGTCTCAACAATGTTTAAAATTCCAAAGTTCAAAGTCTCTTCTGAGACTCATGGCAATCTCTTAAACTGTAATCCCTGTA